GGGAGTCCATTGGTTGCACCACTCTCATAACTTGCAAGTCACAACATAACTTGTTCCAGACCTCTCTGGGAATGTGGGCTGCGTTAGTAAAGAGCAATTAAAATGAACTATAAAATGATGTGCAGCAGATGTATAATCTAGCAAAACAATAAAATAAAATAAAATAAAATATACACACTAATTTATCAATCCGAGATAAACATTGCTAAGCAGGGAACATGACGGTCATGTGTTACATCAATATGTACACTCGTAAAAGTTTCCTTGTATCGATATATCCAAGATGAACATGTCTGAAGAACGGATTTGCTGTGCCGTTCATAAGTACTCACCCCCTCTGCTCCATGCAGTTACACATCTAGTGTGTCACAGGTAGTGTGACAACCAGCAGTTGAAATAGATTTTGTATGTTTTTTTATTTTTATAAGATCATTTGTTTTTAATTAAAAGGTTATAAGATATATACATAAGTAACAAAAGTGCAAACTGTTACAGACACAGAGCCATAGGTATTAAAAACATCAAAACAATTTACAAGTGATCTTGAAATGTAGCCAGATAAAGTGGAAAACAAATGAACTAACAAAAAAAAAAGAACAGAGTGAAGGAGTAGAGGGAGAATAGAACTTAAAGGGATACTACATAGTTGTATTCCTAGCACTATAGCTTGCTCACACCCTCGCCTGATTGACAGCCACTAGATGCAGTCTTAACCCTTCAAGGTAATTATTGCAGTTTCTCAGACACTGCAATAGCTACCATTGAAGGGTTAAGGGGGCAGGGACACTGTAGCAGGCATGCCAACAACTGATCCGGTTGTCATTGCTCAGCCACGTCTTGTCCCTGGAAGTGAATCAACTACAGAGAGACCCATTTCCCACCCAGTAACGAGACAACACACAGTCCTGGGGGTACAAAAAAAACTTTATTGGCCATACTCTGCTTTATACTTTCCTCATGCAAGGGGTGGATCACACACAACGACAATGTCTCCTCTCAGGGGTCGCATAATGGAACCGGAACCCCAATCCCTTTGTCCTCTGTTCCCGCCACTCCATGCCCCCTCCCAGGGTCCTCCCCCTCCCAGGGGCCTTTGCGTGTAACAGGAACTCCAGTCCTTCTGACCCCAGTTCCCGCCACTCATCCTTGGGGTTTCCCACCTCCGGGAACCAAGGGCTCTTTATCCCATGAGTCTCTGTACCTGGGAGTCCCAGTGTGGGGAAGTTTCCCACCTCTGTGACTCTGAGCCACAGAAAAACAGACATTGTCCCTATGAGAGTGTCCACATCAATCTCAGGGACCCTCAGAACGGTAACCGCCTCTGCTTGTGGGGTCCCTTTGTGAAACCAGGCAAGGGAAGTGTCTCCTTTCAGGACACAAATGCTCTCCCTGGCGGCCGTCAAGGGAAGCACTCAATTACTTCCCTTGCAGTTTAACACTTATGTTGCAAGTTGCCAACCTTCTAATCGGTTGGTGTGAACACTCCAAGGAGCACTGGGCAAGTCCTCATTACGGAACCGAATGAGGTGAGAAGCAATCCACGAATTCTCCCCCTAGATGGCATTCATCTAACAAACGGGCCCCCAACCAGGGTCAGCATGCACCGAGTCTTCTCTTGCGGTTTTGGGGCCTCGTTACGAGGTGTGAACGTTCTAAGACAACATTGTAAATTAGGTTTCGTGGTGGTCCCCATTCGAGAGGCGAACGGAACTCATTTGTATTGGCTCTCCCGAACGGGTAGCAGGTAGAACATAGAAATATCACACAACACAGGGGAAGAACAAATAGAAATTCATGAACAGGCAGCGGTCCCGCCACAGACACTGCACATAGACCACTTTAAGGAGCTGAAGTCGTATGGGCAGGGCCGCCATCAGAAATTTTGGGGCCCCTAACAAAGCTCAAAGTCCGCCCCAAGGCCCGCCTCCAAATCCCACAACCCGCAAGACCTGCCTCCAAATCGGCCCACAAGGAAGCAGTGTCTGTACAGTGGATATAGGCTGTGTGTTTTGTGGATGCAGTGGATGTTTTGTGGATGCAGTGTGTGTTAGTGCATGTGTAGTGAATGCAATATGTGTGTAGTAGATGCACTGTGTTTATAGTGTGTGTGTATACATTTATACACACACACACACACACATACACTTTGTGTTTGAATGTAAGCATGTTTTTGTATGGAGTAAGTGTGTGAATGCTGGTGTTTGAATGCAGGTGTGCATATGTGTGTAGTGTATACATTTCCACACACCCTGATAATCAGACACACACACACAAACACAGACACATGCACTGATCCAAAAGGACACAGATACACACATACTGAAGCAGACAGATACAAGGGCCGCCGGGCCTGTGACAACCGTCATAGTTGTAACACCCTGATGGTGGCCCTGGGTATGGGTGCATATAGTGTCCCTTTAAAAAAAAAAAAAAAAAAATATATATATATATAGGTATAATTAGATAGATAAGGTTAATAGAAACATAGAAACATAGAATGTGACGGCAGATAAGAACCATTCGGCACATCTAGTCTGCCCAATTTTCTAAATACTTTCATTAGTCCCTAGCCTTATCTTATAGTTAGGATAGCCTTATGCCTATCCCACACATGCTTAAACTCCTTTACTGTGTTAACCTCTACCACTTCAGCTATTCCATGCATCACTACCTTCTCAGTAAAGTAATCCTGATATTATTTTTAAACCTTTGTCCCTCTAATTTAAGACTATGTCCTCTTGTTGTGGTAGTTTTTCTTCTTTTAAATATAGTCTCCTCCTTTACTGTGTTGATTCCCTTTATATATTTAAATGTTTCTATCATATCCCCCCTGTCTCGTCTTTCCTCCAAGCTATACATGTTAAGATCCTTTAACCTTTCCTGGTAAGTTTTATCCCATAATCCATGAACCTGTTTAGTAGCCCTTCTCTGAACCCTCTCTAAGGTATCAATATCCTTCTGAAGATACGGTCTCCAGTACTGTGTACAATACTCCAAGTGAGGTCTCACCAGTGTTCTGTACAATGGCATGAGCACTTCCCTCTTTCTACTGCTAATACCTCTCCCTATACAACCAAGCATTCTGCTAGCATTTCCTGCTGCTCTATTACATTGTCTGCCTACCTTTAAGTCATCAGAAATAATCACCCCTAAATCCCTTTCCTCAGATGTTGAGGTTAGGACTCTATCAAATATTCTGTACTCTGCCCTTGGGTTTTTACGTCCAAGATGCATTATCTTGCACTTATCCACATTAAATGTCAGTTGCCACAATTCTGACCATTTTTCTAGTTTACCTAAATCATTTGCCATTTGGCTTATCCCTCCTGGAACATCAACCCTGTTACATATCTTAGTATCATCAGCAAAAAGACATACCTTACCATCAAGACCTTCTGCAATATCACTAATAAAAATATTAAAGAGAATGGGTCCAAGTACAGATCCCTGAGGTACCCCACTGGTGACAAGTCCAAGCTTCAAATATATTCCATTAACTACAACCCTCTGTTGCCTGTCACTCAGCCACTGCCTTACCCATTCAACAATACTGGAATCCAAACTTAAAGATTGCAGTTTATTGATAAGCCTTCTATGTGCAACAGTGTGAAAAGCCTTACTGAAATTTAGGTAAGCAATGTCTACTGCACCACCCTGATCTATAATTTTAGTTACCCAATCAAAAAAATCAATAAGATTAGTTTGGCATGATCTCCCTGAAGTAAACCCATGTTGTCTCTGATCTTGAAATCCATGTGTTTTTAGATGTTCATCAATCCTATCCTTTAACATGGTTTCCATCACTTTCCCCACTACTGAAGTAAGGCTTACTGGCCTATAGTTGCCCGACTCCTCCCTATTACCTTTCTTGTAAATGGGCACAACATTCGCTAACTTCCAATCTTCTGGGACTACTCCTGTTAACAATGATTGGTTAAATAAATCTGTTAATGGTTTTGCTAGTACACCACTAAGCTCTTTTAATAGCTTTGGGTGTATTCCATCAGGTCCCATTGACTTATTTGTCTTTACTTTTGACAGTTGAAATAGAACCTCTTCCTCTGGAAACTCACGTGTAATAAATGACTAATTTCCTTCATTTTCATCTGTAAATACAGAACAAAAATATTCATTGAGGCAGTCAGCTAGACCTTTATCCTCTTCTACATACATTCCTTCTTTTGTTTTTAATCTAACTAATCCTTGTTTTACTTTTTTTTTCTCATTTATGTATCTAAATTTTTTTTTATCCCCCTTGTTTTACTGACTGTGCTATTTTCTCTTCTCTGTGTGATTTGGAAGCTCTTATAACTTGCTTAGCCTCTTTCTGCCTAATTTTATAGATCATTTTGTCTTCCTCACTCTGGTTTTTTTTATAATTCCTAAATCCCAACTTTTTGTTTTTAACTATTTTGGCCACACCTGTGGAGTACCACAGTGGTTTCTTGAATTCTTTGCTTTTACTTACAAGCCTAATGCAATTTTCTGTTGCCTTCAATAGTGCAACTTTTAAATAATCCCATTTCTCTTGGACTCCATTTAAATTGCTCCAGTCTGATAATGACTCCTCTACCCATATTCTAATTTTAGAAAAGTCTGTTTTTTCTAAAGTCTAAAACTTTTGTTTTTGTGTGGTGTGACTCAGTCACTGTTCTTATATTAAACCACACTGACGATCACTGGATCCTAAACTTTCACCTACAGTAATGGCACTAACCGTGACAAATAGGATTATCAGAGTTCCAAAATCAGATGCCAGTTCACTCCTCTTCTAGTCTAGTCTGGTCTTACTCTAGAAATGAAATGCCGTAGTGCAACCAAGGGACCTGTATTTTTTTTTTTTTGTACGGAGTCGAGTTCGTGATTTTAACCATTCGACTTATACATTGACCATGAGCAATCACACCGTCAACAAACCCATTTAAATCAATAATCACAGAGAATATTAAGAATAAATCATAACTTATTGGTAAATTATACAAAAGAATACTTTGATAATGTGAGAATATAATCATAACATATAAAATGAACATCTGGTCTAAAACAAAATTAATTTGAAACTGTGCAATATAGTGAAGTCCTAGCGTGCCAAGTCCAGGACTAGACTTATTGCCAAGCTTTCATGCATTTCTAATCAGTATTTGGTAATAGCCTTTGAATGTGACTGTAATACTTGATTAATATCTTGGAAGGAATCTGCCTTTGTGCAGGATTCTAATATTGTTGCCTCAAAATACTTATTAAATAAAGATTGCCGTGATCCAATTACCATAGGTCTTTATAGTATTGTTTACATGATTTTTTTTAAGAATGCCACACAGAAAATAGTGTGCTGAACTGCAGCAGTATATATTTTTTTATTTGCTTTTTTTTCTCACATTAAATGAACCTACTACCACTTACCTCAACCTCTGGTCCCCTGCCAATTCTGTAATACCCACCCCTAGGCCACTTTGTCCTCCTGCTCTCTTCATTGATTTGCACTGATTGGGGACACTTCCTCGAGCAGGACAAACCTCTCTTAACATGCTGACTACTGTCACACAGTTTTTATACTTTCCAGCCAGCATTAGCAGCATCGGCTAGAGATTTACCATAGCAACCAAAATGCATGTGCTGTGGTTGCTATGCACATGGGAGGTCTTTTCTGCTCTCCTTTATCAATCAATTCCTCGGCATAGAGTCTTTGCTGAAGGATTGGCTGACAGGTGGGAGGAAAAATAAACAAACCAATGCATTGATGACATTTCATGATCTTTAAAAAGAGCTAAATTAGTTTTGGGGATGATACATGAATATATCTTTAGCTCTTAGCACCTCATTATTGACTTTCAATTGATTTTTGGGTTCCAAATAGAACTCAGAAACCTCACATTGCAGTCTTCTTCTTTACCTCAGACATTATTTTGCAATGTAAAAATAGATTACTAAAACATTAGTTATCTGACAGTATTTAGCTTCTATTAGTCTATATAAGCCCAGAACAAACTGGTAAGCAGGTCCTAGAGACATTGATCAGTTTGAGAATATTGTGTCATTCTAGAAGCTCTGGACCAGGTACCAGCTGCTAGCAGGGGCCACAACTTTTAATTTTTACCATTTTTAATCTGTCTCTGGCCTTACATGCTGACAGGAAAATCTTTTTTTTTTTTTTTCAAAAAGGTGATTGATAGAATTATTTTTTTTTTAACTAAATAATTTCCCAATTCAATGAATTAATATGAGTGCCTGACCTCAGCACTTCTGGAATCATAATATTCTCATTGCCAAAGAGATTAGAAGCTTATTGCAAGCTCATGTCCTGGATAAAAGTGCTATATACAAAATGTTAACGAATCATCTAATACGATTTCATGTTGCCAAACCTTATTTCCCTGATTGCCTTTTAACTATCGGCCTGCCTGATCTCAGTTACTGCTTAGCCCGTCCACCTCTGCTTTAGTTCAGATTAGACTCAGACCCAAGAGTCAGGGCCACACACATCTGCACACACCTGGAGGAGAGGATCCCTGGGGGTGAAGTGAAGGATTGTCTACTAACTGATTATATCTCAATTCAGCAGTGCGTGTTCTTAATCATGTACATCCTGCTTGAGCCAAGGTGTTTTCTGCAGAAGCATTACAAAGTAAAGAGTCTGAGTGAATTGTGAGTTTATCTCCTCTATTTCTCAAAATATTTATCTGTCAACAGATTGTGGCAAAATCTAAGTTTGTTTTCTCAGAAGCATATTATTCTATATCTTACGATAACAGTGCGTGTGTTTCAATTTGACAATCAATGACAAATTTGTGTTATTAGACTCTGCATTTCTTATTACAATCTTTTCAGATGGCAAGTATATTTTCTTTGTTTTAATTACTCTTAGCGAGGCCTTGTCTATAACTGTCCAAATCTATTTAATTTGTTTTTCTCTCTTTTTTGGATGACCTAAGCATGTTTCCTTAAATTATTAGTTTTATAAACAGAAGAACAGAAATGCAAGCAGAACAAACAGAATTGGTAAATCCCATTTAACAGCCTCAAAGAGCATATTTATCATGGTTATTAAAAGAGGTTGAAATAAAACGGGTTAGAAAGACCGGACAAGGCTTGGCTTACGTGTGGTTTAGAAAGGTTTAATTTGCACATTAAGTATCCCACAAAGTATTATACATGTCACAACCATTCAGCTGTGGTTTTCTCTTTCAAGCTATGGAGAAAAAGAAGCCTTTATACAGTAAATCCTTTTAAATTTACCATAAGCAATTTTTGGATAAGGAGCTGTGCAATAGATTTTTAAATAATAAAATGCAAAAAAAAAAAAGATTTCAAACTGTGTATTCTTTGAAATGTTAGCCATTTTGTATTGACAGGAGTTTTGGAAAATTATGCTAGAAAACTATATTCTTTTAAATTCAGTGGGATTTCTCTCTGAATTTGATTGAGGTTCTGCTTAGTTGTAGATTAAATTATAAGCCAGCTGCACCACAAGTTTGGCAATCTTTTTCTGCAGCCTCTTCGCATACAAAGCACTACGTCCTTGACGAATGTCAGATACTTTGTTATTCAATGTTGTACTGCTCATCCCTTCTCCGCAGCCTTTTGTATCGCCGGACCATTACTTTCAGATAACGGAGTTGGCGTAGCATGTTAGTAATGAAATAGATTGGAACCTGCATTAAAATAGACAGCTGGATATTGAAAAGGATTACCCAAAGAATATTACAGTATTCAACAGCAGTTATTAAAATGATTAAAGAAGCAATTTTATAACTTTATTGGTATTCAATATGTAGACAAAAAACTCACATATGTGAAAAAACAGATGTGTATATAAATGGGAAAGTGCAAAAAGGGGTAAAATTGAGAAGCTATTAGAAATATGAATCTAAGGGTTTCAAAAAGGCTTATATAGGTATCTATGTAGTTAATATTACAAACCTAATGATTCAAATGGCGTTATAAAAGTAGATGTTTGTAAGCTAGTATAGCCTGTTTATTCTCATGCTTATTCTTGATGATCCACAGACATGGCGAACTACACCTGTTTATACTATCTATACCTTCAACATGTGCCATTACTTCAATGCCATATCTGTGAATTACTGCGATATTAATGTGCTTACACATGCTGGTGTGGCCTCGTAAGATGTTTTGTTATCCCATGCACAGTAAAAAATAAAGAATTAAAAAAAAATAGATGTCAAACTAATGTTGCAATTTAAATAGTAACATTCTGGGGTAATTAGATAGGGATATATAGGTACACCAGGGCTAGACAGATAATCTAACTAAATGGGATTATATTGAGGAAATAAACGACAGAATATAGAAACACTTAGCTATATAGCCTTGTCAAAGAGAGGCAACAGCCTGTTTGGAACCAGTCATCTTTAGTCGCTATTTCGTACCAGGCATTGTTGGATGTCTATATCCAAGAACAGTGTGCTGCAGTATATCCCAATTCTATTTAGAATAAGACTGAGAAACTAGCAGCATTCTGGTCATTCAAACCAATTATGGTGTATCCACCTACTAACTAAGGTGATATGGCCAGGAGGTGAATAGCTTAGAATATAAATATCGCTTAGAATATAAATATCACTAAATTGCTGGAAACATAGCAACAGTCTGTTCTAATGTGGATAATCCCATAAATCTTAGAGAACGAGTGTCACTAGATTCATATACACGGGGAAAGTGTGCTGCAGTACATCTCAAGCTTAAAGGAATGGAACTGAGGAACTAGCAGCACTAGAGAATATACACCCCAATTACGGTATAAAAAATATAGTATTTCAGCATATAAAGTTAGTAGAATAGAATAAGAGACCATACTCCTGTGTCTTTCGATTTCCATTGAATCCACCTCTCAGACTGTTAAAGGTCTAATTTGTGCTGACTTACAATGCTGCTTCGAGGCAGCCCCTGATAGAAAGGGACTAATGAAGCCTTTTGAATGGAACTGAAAAGCTAGCAGCACTAAATAATATATATACCTCAACTGTGGTATAAGATCGATAGTAATTCAATATGGAGGTATATAGGGTGAAAACACAAAGTAAAAAAAAGTTATTTTCTAATATTGGATTGTCAAAATATCCACCTCTCAAGCCGTTCAAAAAATAATCTGTGCTAGCCCTAAATGTTGCTTCGAGGCAGCCCCTACTCTAATGTACTCCTTGAAAGCATTGTAAGATAGTAGCTTGGCCTATAGCAAATACTACTACGAGCTTCTACCGGATATTTAAAGACAGTTAGATCAGGTAATGGGTAAGTTCCACACATACTTATGTCCACAGCACTTCTGCATGCGGTAGCAATATTGAAGGACAACTGTAATAAAATTTTCATGTTAATTATATATTTTTTCTAAAATGATATATACTGGGTTTTTTTCCAGAAATTTCCCTTCTTATATCTGCATTCTCCGTCCTCCACATGTGGCCGGTGATGGACATGCAGGGGCACCTGGACGGACCTACCCATGTTTTGATGTGCAGGAGGCGTTGGATCTGCAGACTCTTGAGTGGGGTTGCATGGACCTAGTTTGTCTCTAAATGATCACTGTGCCATCGGTGGACTGGTGTTCCAGCTTTGTGAACCTAATTCAAAAGTGTGGGGTTGCGAATTCCATGTGTTACTAAGTGTTATGCTCCTACTCTATGTTGTGGGCCTTCATGAGCTATGCTTCAATAAGCGATCACGAGCCATATCATATTGCTGTCTACCACTCTATTTTCTTCCAAGTCAAGCTGCAGCAAAGTTACCGTATTTTTCGCTCCATAAGACGCACCTCACCATAAGACGCACCTAGTTTTTAGAGGAGGAAACCCAGAAAAAAAAATATTCTGAACAAACTGTTCCATAGTGTTTCTTACCATGGGACAGTTTGTTCAGAATATTTTTTTTTCTCCCCTGTCCCATAATGATCTTTAACCCCCCTTTCCCCCCTTTCCTCTGTCCCATAGTGATTGTTAACCCCTCCTACCCTGTCCCATAGTGATTGTTAACCCCTCCTACCCTGTCCCATAGTGTTCTTTAACCCCTCCTCCCCTTGTCCATTAGTGTTCTGATCCCATAGTGTCCCCCCTCCCATTGTCCCATAGTGCACCCCTCCCATATTGTCCCATAGTGCCCCTCCTCCCATTGTCCCATAGTGCACTTTCCCTCCCATAGTGTCCCCCCCTGCCCTTGTCCCATAGTGTCCCCCCCCTCCCCTTGTCCCATAGTGTCCCCCCTCCCCTTGTCCCATAGTGTCCCCCCCTCCCCTTGTCCCATAGTGTCTCCCCTCCCTTTCTCCCATAGTGTCCCCCTCCCCTTGTCCCATAGTGTCTCCTCCCCTCCCCTTGTCCCATAGTGTCTCCTCCCCTCCCCTTCTCCCATAGTGTCCCCCCTCCCCTTCTCCCATAGTGTCTCCCCTCCCTTTCTCCCATAGTGTCCCCCTCCCCTTGTCCCATAGTGTCTCCTCCCCTCCCCTTGTCCCATAGTGTCTCCCCCTCCCCTTGTCCCATAATTACTTACCTGTCTTGGAGCGTGGGCCGGCTTCACAGCGCGCTCCGCGGTCCAGGAACTTCTATTTCAGGTTCCGGTTTCCGGCGGGACTGAAAGGAAGTGTGCACACGCGCTCCGCGGTCCAGGAACTAATATTTCAGGTTCCGGTTTCCGGCGGGACTGAAAGGAAGTGTGCACACTCAGTGTGCACACTTCCTTTCAGTCCCGCCGGAAACCGGAACCTGAAATATAAGTTCCTGGACCGCGGAGCGCGCTGTGAAGCCGGCCCACGCTCCAAGACAGGTAAGTAATTCTTCACATTCGCTCCATAAGACGCACAGACATTTCCCCTCACTTTTGAGGGGAAAAAAAGTGCGTCTTATGGAGCGAAAAATACGGTACATAATGCAGCTTCTTCCTACATATCCTCACTAATACACAAGTATGTCCCACCCAGGTCCTTATCCTTTTCCCTTATTTCTTTAGGAAAGCATATGAATTAATCTGTTAATAGCTTTTCCTCCCCGTACCTTGGTAGCTCACCCTGTTTCATTTCCTGCAACTGTGTCATCCAAAAAACTAACCCTTCACTGTAAACTATTCTATGAACCTACTTTTTCCCGTACATGAAATACAACCTACCTTTACCTCATGTCACTTTACCCCACTCCCTCTAGAATGTAAGCTTTTTTTTTTTTTTTTTGCAGGATCCTCTCCACTCTGTATCTGTGTATACAGCTCATCTTGTTTCAAATACTTGTCTGTTAGTCCACCTATTGTACAGGAATTTGTTGGTGCTTTATAAATAATAATAATAATAAATGGCACATAAACATACTTTGGAATAACCCCACAGGGGAAGTCTCTAAAATCAACACATTCTATTTAAAGGGACACTATAGTCACCAAAACAACTTTAGCTTAATGAAGCAGTTTTGGCGTATAGAACATGCCCACGCAGCCTAACTGCTCAATTCTCGGCCATTTAGGAGTTAAATAACTTTGTTTATGAACCCTAGTCACGCCTCCCTGCATGTGACTTGCACAGCCTTCCTAAACACTTCCTGTAAATAGTCACCTAAAGTTTATCATTTCTTTATTGCAAGTTCTGTTTAATTTAGATTTTCTTATCCCCAGCTATGTTAATAGCTTGCTAGACCCTGCAAGAGCCTCTTGTATGTGAACAAAGTTCAATTTAAAGAGAAATACAAAATAGTTTAAGGTAACTTACATCATAGCCAGGGGAGGTGTAGCTAGGGCTGCATAAACAGAAACAAAGTGATTTAACTCCTAAATGGCAGTGAATTGAGCAGTAAAACCTGAGCTGCATGATCTATACACTAAAACGGCTTCATTAAGCTAAAGTTGTTTAAGTGACTATAGTGTTCATTTAATAACCTGCCTCTTTTTTTGTCCAAGTAACCAAAGTCCATACCTTCATTGACATTGTTCTAAAATGTGTACATAACCTCCTATGTGAATAAAAATATACCTACAAATCCAGACTAAACACAAATGCATACAGTAAATATAGTAACCAGAAAAATAAATATATCTGTAAAAATCACTATATAGTGTTTATACTAATTTAAAAATGTCATTTTTCCTAGGTTGCTAAATAATATTACATGCACCAACTACGGGGCTTACAATCATGGAGCCTTGCTTTCTATGTGACTCCAGAGAATTGGACCAAGAAACAATCAATGGGTAAGTGAATGTACACCTCGCTGTACTTATTCGATAACACTGCTATTAACCATTTCAGTACTGCAGGTATGAGCAACATATTGCAGAATGGTTCAATGTTTATCTCTCCTTGAGCGATAAATCTATTTGAAACTTAAAAGTGAAATACACATTGTTTTTCAGCACGTGCACCATTTTAAATTATTATTGAGATAAAGTACACAACTGCTTTGCCTTTCTGATCTTCTTCCTGGAAGTTGTCAGAGGCTCGGAGAAAATGTTTATTTCCAAAGGGAAGTTCCAAGAAAATAACTAAAACCATCTTACCCAAAAAGAAATGACATGAGAAATACTTAAATGACCACATACACCCATAAAGCAGTTCACTTGATGAAGTGCTTTATGGGTGAGGAGGATCCCACCCATAAAAGTTATAAAAAATAAATGAAGCAATCAAACATGAGGGAGGTTTCTTGCTGCATCCGTTAGCTCCCTTGAGCTAGTACAAGTGTCAGATGCACTGTGCACAGAGAGAGAGAGCCTCACAACTTCTCAATTAGAAGACTCTGGTTGGCTAAAAAGAGGAGGGCTTGTGAAGGCTGCAGTAAATAAGAACTACAGTTTTTGCTAGCTCTTTTAGGATATACACTACACGAATATATGCATGAAAAACGCATGCATGTATTAATTGGGGGTATATCTACTAAACAGTCATGTCTACTCTTTGGCTCATTTAGGCAGTGGAATGTCCCTTTCTTTCAAAATTTTAGAATGTTTGCTAGTTCTTAGAATGTTAGAGATCTCAACTTCTAAACCTGCAGTTTAAACCCAGGGTTAACAGTGGCTTACAGACTGCTCACTCTGTCTTTTAAAGCTGATTTCAACTTACTTACAAATGTATTGATTATTAAGAACCTGCTTTTTCATTCTTGGCATTACTGCGGTTGTAAATGTTGCTTTACCAGTGACAAAGCGTAATAGTATTTCAGAAATGGCTATGACTAAACAATAAAACAATATGATGGATAAGGATAATCTACCTAGGTTTATGGTTGTAAATATTTTACAAATATGTTAGAATCCATATAATAATAAAATCTTGGAAATTTGTATAACACCATTATTAGGTCTGTGTGCTTTTTTTTTCTTGAATGGACTCTCCAGTTCCAGGAAAACAAACCGTTTTCCTGGCACTGCAGGTCCCCTCACCCTCCCACCTCCCATCCCAAGTTGCTAAAGGGGTTAAACCCCTTCTGTAACTTAACTGTATCCAACGCCGATGTCCCTCAGCGCTGGGTCAGACTCCACCTACGCTCCTACGCACGCGCATTAGAACTCCCCATAGGAAAGCATTGAATAATATGGGGATTTCGGCGACGCTGGAGGTCCTAACATAGCGTAAGGACGTCCAGCGTCGTCTATGAACACGGAAGTGTCCTCTAGTGGCTGTCTAGAAGACAGCCACTAGAGGAGGACTTAACCCTGCACGGTAAATATTGCAGTTTATAAACACTGCAGTTTATAAACACTGCAATTATTACACTTACAGGGTTAAGGGTAGTGGGAGTAGGCACCCAGACCACTCCAATGGGCAGAAGTGGTCTGGGTGCCTGGAGTGTCCCTTTAAGGTGTTCCGTGCAGTGCATTTATTGCCGGTTGACCTTAGCCACTAATTATACAGACTGACACTGTTATTGAAGAATTCAAAGTGAATTTTAAATGTAATGCCAGGATAGCCAAACTGGAAGCATATCTGACTTGGAGAATTTTTCCTAATCTGCTATTGTCACCTTAACTTTAAAATTCATTTTGAAGTCTAACTTTAGTAAGTAACCATGAGAGAGATTTTTCAGTTTGGCTATTGTGAACTTAAATTTGAATTATTATTTGAATGCTCACTTTAGTGAATTATCCCGACGTAATTATCCTGGGTGCCAAAGTTTGAAATTTGAGTTTTTTTCCATTCCAAGTTTTAACATGCATTTCGCATGGATTGGTTGGAAACTTGTAAACAGGCAGAAAGACTAACAAAAATGTTTTGCAACACCGTACATATTAAAGACTATATACTAATAGGAGGAGTATTAAATAAAGTTTTGAATAAGTTTGAATTTGTAAATCAGAAGCTTTGCTGAATTTTCTGTTGTACAGAGGGTTCACAGGAATTCAATTTTTTTTCCAAATGAAGTAAAACTTTTGTTATTGTCAGTCTTTCTTCCTGTTTACATGTTTCCAACCAATCCATGTGAAGTGCACGATAGAGCGTGAAACGGTATATACTCATGGTTGGGGTTTGTTGTTGAATCCAATGTTGTATGATAGATTTTCTTGCCCCTTCCAGGGACTCCTAAGACAGCGTACTTTAGAAATAATGACTTTAGAAATGAAGATCGATTATTTAAAAATTCACATTTATCATAGCTTAGTACTGTCCAATTCTAAATTCTAGATCCCATTTACCCAAGAAGAGTTTTTTGAGGACATGCTCAAAGCCACTTGACAAAATTAAATGGTGTAAAAATTATAGTGACTTGTTATGAGGTGTAATTAGGAATTTTATGGATTGTAAATTGTATCCTGGATTGCTTTCATCAAGCAATATTTCCACCATCAAATTTTTATCTGATGGGAAAGAATAAAAGGAAATTAATACATTTTGTTTGG